TTATATATATATATATATATATATATATGTATGTACTGTATGTATTCAAAAAGTTTCTCATTAAATTAAAAAAAAAAACAACCTGAGCAGTGAAAATTCTTATTTTCTAACTAAATTCAAAAATTGCTTTTATTTTCCTCACTAAGTTAAAAAAGCCTGAGCTGTGAAAATGAATCTATTTTTCTCATTAAATTCAAAAATTGTTTCTATTTTCTCACTAAATATTATATATTGGAGTGCATTTTACATGAAAATACCATTTCAATCTTTCTTTTTAAGTTTAATTCAATGCGTTATGTAATTATACTTTAAAATGCTTCATGGAACCATGATTATTCATGCACGATGAGCTACTCAAAGCAAGGAACTTAAAAAATACTATGATTATTGTTTTGCATTATGTAATGTTTGCTAAAGCCTCGCTACAGTCTCCGAGCTGCTTGCTTTGGTGTGTTTTAAGCTAGTTTTAGAGCGCTTGAGCGATTGTGTGAGAGTTTTTTGGCTGATTCTGAAACCTTTTTGTAATAAAAACGGATCTTGTCATGCTTGGCCTTTTTCATGATGGAGTTTACTGTGACTTTACTGTGGTGAAAATATCCCACTGCTGCAACTAAACACACACAGCACTCAAACCAGCACATTAATGCTGTTTTATCCTAACAGTATGTGTGGTTTTATTCAGAAATGTATCCTTACAGAAGATACTGTAGTGATGTAAAATCACAAATCATTATGTATTTTTATTATTATCATTTTATACGAATCAGGAAAATTAAAGTTAATGCGCTATTGAAGTTAATGAGATTAAAAAATAAATAAAAAACTCATAAGCATCAAAGTTTTTTTTTTAGCTTTTAAAAGCGTGACTTTTATTTTATGTCGCGGTCCATCATTTCCGGTGCTGAGCGGTCTCCATGGTGACTGACCGACTGACCGTTGAGAGTCTGAGAGGAGATTAGTGCAGTGTACGGTAGTTAAGTTAGTTAGTTAGTTAGTGAGTGATTACTCATCATGGCCAAAAGTGACGGTGGCTCGTATTTCAGGAGAACCAGTCTGTTCTGGATGGTGGTCGTGTCGGTTTATATTATTCTTCACACGGTGAGCTGAAACTTTCAGAAACTCCTTTCCATAATAATGTTTGATATGACTGTCAGAAAAGCCGTTTGACTTCTGTTTGATTATTCTTATTATTATTACTACTAAATATGCTGACTCTAGCTCCTCAAAGAGCTTTCAAGCTACATCCAACAAACTCGGCCCAGATCTTAGGACTGTTCATTAGTTTGCTTTATTTATTTATTTTTCTAACTGATCCGACTTGTGGTTTTCATAAAAATCCCATAGACTTACACTGACGGAATGTTCCAATGAGCGAAGGCTATTCAAACTCCAACTGACAAAATTCAAATTTAAACACGCTGAAGCCCACTAGACTCAATTAAGGGCCGTTTCGCGCGCTCAAGTTCTAATTTCAAATGTAGCCGCGCGGGAATCGCGCGCTCTTTAGTGATTGGAAGTCCGGTTCTTTTCTGCGAACCGGTGCTTACACTCTGCTTTGAATTTTGGTTCTTGACAGCCAGTCAGTGTAAACATGTTGTCGATTAGTGATGGGAAGTCCGGTTCTTTTCTGCGAACCGGTTCTTTCGGACAGTTCGTTTCAATTAACCGGTTCTTTTACGCAATGACGTAATGACGTTCATTCTATCGCTCAAACACATTCAAAGTCAGTAATCATCGCGCGCTCTTTAGTGAATGGAAGTCCGGTTCTTTTCTGCGAACCGGTTCTTTCGGACAGTTCGTTTCAATGAACCGGTTCTTTTACGCAATGACGTAATGACGTTAATACTATCGCTCAAACACATTCAAAGTCAGTAATCATTACTTCAATCGGTTTAAAACACCATCATCATCCTGGATAAGTTCGTTTCTTTCGAGTTTTGCTACTAAAGCACCCAAATGCAGGCAATGATGTGCAAACGAGTATGTTTTACATGTTCAAAAAAAACAGACATCAAAATACCACTATAACCAGTAGATGGCAGCAGAGGAGCACTTATCGGCTTATTACTTTTACTTTTACTTTACTTTTAGTCATTTGGCAGACGCTTTTATCCAAAGCGACTTACAAATAAGAAAAAGTAATTAAGACTAAAAGCTAAAACTCTATAAATACTATATATATATACATTTAAGAAAATAAAAGAAATTAAATAAAAATGACAAATGCATACAACAACATTTCAAAACTAAACATTTAAATGAAAACCAAAAAAATAGAGCTAAAAACAATTCAAAATATTAAAAGAACAAAAGGTATGAGTATAATAATGATTCTAACATAACACTAAGCCAAACACCAAAAAACAACTACATATGCGTATGTACAGCCACACACACATACATACATGTACATATTAACTGTTTCCCCTGCCATTATTTTAGGGGGGCGGCCCACCCCCCTTGAAGGTCAAGTTAATTTTATTTAATTATATTTTCTCTATAGCGCCAGATCACAACAGAAGTCATTTAAAGTTACCTTTCCGATAGAACGGGTCTATACCTTGTTCTTTTATTAGACAAACTAAAATAAGGCTAAAATAGCCTTATGTTATTTATCTTATTTACACGACGGCATGTAATTTCGGTCTCTACGTTTTGGTCGCCCTCTCTGTATCACGCACAGTGGAGGTCCGCCCGCGCACACACACACACACACACACATGTGCGCGCACTCCCACTAGTTTGTAAATATTAAGCCGCAAAACGACAATTTAAATATGAATTATGCGTGTCTCTGTGTTAATGAATGGCGCAGACGTGCGGTTTTGTTTACCCCTCATACTGAAGCGCGCATGGCGCTTGCGTGATTTTAGCGTCTGCTGTCTCACTAAATGAGGACATAAATACATGAACAACATCTCCAGAACTGCTCTGAGAGTCACTTCATCAGCATTTCACCGTTTCATTTGAGTAAAACTATCCTCATATCATACACACACAGAAATGTAAAGGTATTCACGGCAACCCGTCAAAATAAAAGTTTGGTTTAACTTGAAGGCATTGGCAGAAATATATTACTAGTGTTCAGTAGAATGTACGTAATAGGCTACTACTACTACACAAATTATTAAAACCTTATTTTTAAGGAATAATCATACAATATTTCTTCAATGTTTTAATTGTAATATTAAATGACCTTTATTTTAGAAAAATACAATTTGTTTAATTTTCATTACTTAAAAGATAGATTAAATGAATGTTTTATGCCTTAAAAAAAAATGTAAATACACAACACAGAATTTCTGAGCAAAAAATCATAAGGCTATTGTAAGAATAAATGAAACTTGTTTTTATGCTTTTAAATAATTAGACATGCTAAAACAGAATTTGGTAACAATAAAACGTAAAGTTGGGCCCTAAACATGTAATTTTTGTTAAACTTTTAATAAATCTAAAGTTTAATTGTTTAAGTTTCATGATTGTAATTAATTAGACATGCTTTTTGATTAATAAAATTGAATTTAACCATTAAAAAGGAGTCCAGAAAAAAAAATGGTCCCCCACCTGAAATAACACAAATTGAATAAAACTAAAACTTAATAAAAAACCTAATGCTAAAACAGAATTTGGTAACAATAAAACGTAAAGTTGGGCCCTAAACATGTAATTTTTGTTAAACTTTTAATAAATCTAAAGTTTAATTGTTTAAGTTTCATGATTGTAATTAATTAGACATGCTTTTTGATTAATAAAATTGAATTTAACCATTAAAAACGAGTCCAGAAAAAAAAATGGTCCCCCCCCTGAAATAACACAAATTGAATAAAACTAAAACTTAATAAAAAACCTATATAGACATAATAAACTAATAAAATGACAACATTACTACAACTGTAACTAAAACTAAAATAGATAACTAATACAAATCAAACTACATTAGTTTATCAGTAATCCTAAAAAAAATAACACTGAGCCAAACACACATGCTAAAATAACAACAATTACTGACACATAGTAAGAAATGGTTATAAAAACTGAAACAGAAGTGAAACAAGTAGTAGGAAAGAGGAGAAATAAAAAGCGATACTTCTTCTTTGCCGGTGTCCTGCCCGGTGGAGTCGCACGGTAGAGCCGATGGTCTTTACACTCTTCGGTCTTCCCGCGACCGCTTCCGCGGTAAACTAAGCTTCTTTTTTATTCGTTTAACAAAACTCAAATTGAATTCAGCTGGACACACTTTCCTGTTTATCACAACAAATGGCCAAGCAAAGCGCACGACACATTATTAGTCATTCATTTATATTTTGAAATGATAAAATCACTATTATAAAATATAAAATCATCAAGAAATCAAGTTTTGTACGTTTTTGTGTATGAAGTAAGAAAAGTCACAAAGTTCCTTGAAAAACAAACTTATTTTTCAATTTGCGACTGAATCACACATAAAGAATGTTTCTTTCATAATCACTAAAGTTTTCGGTCAGTTCAGTATAATACTATAGAAGAATAATAGGTACATTTAATAAGAATAGAATATGTTACATTTTCTAAAAAAAATGTTGTGCTTTAATGTGTATAAACGTGACGTAAACAAGAAATGAATGTGTAATATTATTAGTAACTGCAGTTATTAATGCAAAGCGATAGTAATTTTATGATTAAATTATGTTTATTTTTAATACTCCCACACACCAACCCCGTAGCGCTACCAAATCTGCTCTTGGCGCCGCTATCTATAGAACTTGATCTGGTTCGACCGGTTCACTAAAAAGTAGAGCTGGGACAATAAATCAATGCATCGCGAATCGAGAAATGATTCTGCATCGATTCTGAGATTTTCCGAAGGCATCGCGATTCTCTCTTGAATCGATTCTGAGCTTAGTTTTTAACAGCAGATGGCGCTGCATGCTTTAGAAATTGCCGAATTCTGTTTGCTTCCAGTTCCTTACACACACACCACCTGAACCTAAAATAATCATTCATAAAGTTCGAAAAGGTTGAAGCGAATTACAAGGATGTTCACAGTGGGCTGTGTTTACTTTAATCTCGCATCATAAAAGCCGATGTGCAAGTACATTTAAACACTTACATTACTCAACGCACAAGCGCTCTTCTTCATGAGCATTTGAGTGTACGGTTAAAAACTAGCCTTGAGCGCCATCTGCTGTTAAAAACTAAGCTCAGAATCAATTCCAGAGAGAATCACGATGCCTTCGGAAAATCTCAGAAACGATCCACGAATCGCGATGCATCGATTTATTGTCCCAGCCCTAGTATGTATTATAAGATATGTGAAATTAGTTCTCTTTCGCTGCTGGTTGTGTTTCAATGGCTTAAAATCACTTGTTTTTAAACCGCAATGCTTAAAACCGCAAATTCCACGGTTGACAAATTCCTACCGATTAATCGTGTCTATTGTATATTGGCCACCCCTAGTTTTAATTATTTTACTAGAAATTACTTTGTCACTTTTTTTGTGATCTTTATGCAATGATTTTTAAAAATCTTCATCACAAACTAGGGCTGGGATAATAAATCGAAGCATCGAGAAATGATTCTGCATCGATTCTGAGATTTTCCGAAGGCATCGCGATTCTCTCTTGAATCGATTCTGAGCTTAGTTTTTAACAGCAGATGGCGCTGCATGCTTTAGAAATTGCCGAATTCTGTTTGCTTCCAGTTCCTTACACACACACCACCTGAACCTAAAATAATCATTCATAAAGTTCGAAAAGGTTGAAGCGAATTACAAGGATGTTCACAGTGGGCTGTGTTTACATTAATCTCGCATCATAAAAGCCGATGTGCAAGTACATTTAAACACTTACATTACTCAACGCACAAGCGCTCTTCTTCATGAGCATTTGAGTGTACGGTTAAAAACTAGCCTTGAGCGCCATCTGCTGTTAAAAACTAAGCTCAGAATCGATTCGAGAGAGAATCACGATGCATTCCGGAAATCTCAGGATCGATCCACGAATCGCCATGCATCGATTTATTGTCCCAGCCCTAGTGTTTTTAGACGCGACATGTGAATGGCCCGTAAGAACGCATATTGAGAAACGGCCAAAATCTCAAGTTTTCAGAATGCCACAAGCACACTGCAGGTCACGTGACAAGAACCAACCAATCAGCTTCACCCTTTCTGTAGTCCATAGTCCATGTGACATCAGTGGTTCAACCGTAATGTTATGAAGCTACGAGAAGTTTAACAGTGTCCTTACTATCTTTCTGAGTCTTGAAAGTGGTAGTTGTGTTGTCTATCAACAACAATAATAATAATAGTCATAATAATTATTATACACAGTGCTGGGTAGATTATTTACAAATTGTAGTCTGTTACTGTTTGTAACGTAATTTATTGGATTACTCATATGTGACCCTGCAGCACAAAAGCAGTCAAATAGTTGTATCTCAGCCAAATATTGTCCTATCCTAACAAACCATACATCAATGGAAAGATTATTTATTCAGCCTTCAGATGATGCATAAATCTCAATTTCGAAAAATCGACCCTTATGACTGGTTTTGTGCTCCAGGGTCACATATTAGGTAATGTAATACTTTTAGATTACTAAAATATATCCCATTCTTTGTTGTCAGCATCATGAAGTGTGTTAAATATTACATTATGCCAGAGATTCATGAATGAGTGAATAAATGAGTTGATGAAAAGCTGGAAGACTTTCCAAAAAAAAAGAAAAATGAGGGCAAATCAAATGATGAATGATTTTAATATATAATCATGTAATCTATAAAAACGTAACTAATCTTATTCTGAGCATTTTAAAATGTAATATAACCTAATTACAAGTACTTAATTTTTGGGATCCCATTATGCAATCCGGATTACATGCAATCAGTTACTACCCAGCACCATATCCAAGGGTGTAACTTTGCTTTGAGAAGTGGGGGGGACACAAAATGGGGGAAAATTTTTCGATTTGAATCCCATTTACTGCATGTCCATACATTTAGGGACTATGGTGATACAAAATCCAGGAAATAATTATTTGAATAATGTTTAAATAATGTGAGACTCAATTTCCACTGTTAAACAAACCTTTATTTCAAACTAACCGCTGTACCTGAAAATATAAAATTAATCACTTGTTGTACAGGACAGAATGTTCTACATCAGTGGCTCCCAGACTTTTTAGAGTGGAGTACCCGCTGAGGCATTTCTGCGTACCCCCTCTCTTCCACTTAGACCATATTTGCCCCCTAAATTGACTTTCCAATGCATTTTTTATCTTTATAAATAGAATATTAATGTTTAAAAAAAAAGTTCAATAGATTAATATGCAATGATGACAAAAAAGTGAAAAGTGATTCTTTTAAATATATATATATATATATATATATATATATACACACAAATCATTCAAATTCATTAATGTTTCTGAATGATTTTCACAGAAATCAGTTGCGCTGCAACAACATAAAGCCCCACAAACCTCCAGATGAACCACTAATTCCTTATGAAATCATGTTTTCATTGGTTTCCAGTGGACTGCGTTTTGGCCTCGGGACGTCCCGTATGGCCTTCTGGGTCCTCTCAGCGCTCTGGCCAAGTATTTCGTGGACTATCATTATCCTGCGCTGTATAACGGGTGAGTGAGCGCCGGCATTCATACGGTGAGTTCAGAGCTGACGCTGATGATGTTATGTCTGTGTTCCAGATGGTTTCTGATGTTTGCCATCCATGTGTGCGAGGCTCTGTTTGTGTTGAAGTTCTGCAGGTAAGACCCTTTTCTACCACACGGTGGCAGTACAGACCATCAGATTTGTGGATGTTGTTCATACTAACACTGCTGTGACTGACACACTGTGTGCATTATGTGAACTTGGAATAAATTATTTGTTTGCTACATTTGCCAAAATGAATTTTGTATCCTGCATTGCAAGGCTCTCGACCTCACCTTACATTCGCAGTGAGATGAATGAACCGACTGCAGTGCCATCTTTCTTGACTCATATTAGTTTAGACTGATAAACTTGTTTTTTACACAAAATTGGTGAAAAATACAACTTTTTTTATTTCAGAGATTATATGTGACCCTGGACCACAAAACCATTTTTGTTACTTTAAATAAAATAAACGTTAATAACATAAAATATATAATAAAACTGGAAATTAAATGAAATGAAATATTAAACTATATAATATAAATATAAAAAAAAAAAAGCAAAACACAACAAAATGACTAAAACTCCAACTAGAAGTAAAATGAAAGCGGAAAATGTAAAAAAAATCAAACTAGTAATAAAAACTACAATTGTATCTTAATGATATTAAAATAACACTGGTGTAAACTGCACAGGACTTGAACTTTATACTTTGAGCAGAACGTACATTTTTCTATGTAAATGAGAAGAATATATAAATAATAGAGGATGATTAAGACAAGTTTCCCCCAGATGCAGGACTGTGCTGATCAGTGTGTTTGTGTCTGCAGTGATAAAGGCATCGACAGCACGTCCACACGCTTGCTGTGGTTCGCTCAGACGTTCCTGTTTGGTCTCACGTCTCTGTGTCTTCTGGTGAAATACAAGCCCGACGGCCGACCCAAACGCCAGTGACCGAAACCAGAGCTCGTTTCCCAGCAGCACTTAATGTTTTCAGTTTGTACATTCTTTACATTTCTTTTGGACCTGGGGTAGAGAATTTGGAAACATGGTGAAAAAAAATCTTGTTGGTTTAATACTACAACAGGGACAGTAAATAAAGTTAATGAAGTAGCCTAGCTATTATTAATATACGGCTAATATTAACTTTATTTGTCCCACAGGGGAAACTGTTACTAATGATGGAAATAAACTGAAATATTGTAATCAACTGTCATCCATACATATTCATTTTAATAATCTTTATAATAATTCATATGATTTTACATGTGGCCTGAGAAAACCATGTCTATTATTTAGGTTTGTGAGATTGGACATCGCACTGCGCATGTATACAAACATTCAGGAGGACACAAAATTCTTGAGAACGCTGCCCCACGACTTTTATTAATAAAATAGATTAAATAGCCTACTGGAGAGACACACAGATGCAGGTAGGCAACTGTCACCTCTCTCTCTCTCGAATAATTAATTCAAGTAGCTAAATATTATAATTCAAATAAATGTGATCTTACTATTTCACTATTTCATCTCTTTCTGATCTGAAGCGGGCAGAATGCTGAGCTAACGAGCCGTAGCTTCGCATCAGGTTTTTCTTGCCTTCACGTCGTGCATTAAAATTGTTCAATGTACAGCTAGCCATGCATTATCCCTAATGTGTTTGCTCTTTAGCAGCAGTTTTTTACGGCAATATTTAAATGACACCCTGGTCATTCTTGGTGTACGCAAAATGGTCCCACACTATCGACAAGCATTTCTCTGCTGGAAATAAAGCTTCGCTGTTTGGTCCTTCTGTCACAGTTAATCTAATGCATGTAGTATCCTCCATGCCTCTGATAAGCACGTCATTTTAAGCTGGTGCACCTTTAGTGTAACTTTGTTTCCATTTTGCACAAGCTGCAACAGTTCCATTCCGTGTAACAGAAACACTCGGTTTAGCAGAACCTTTACGATTAATTAACCGTGATGTTTTAAAGCACGGTTAATCGCGAAACCGGTTAATCGCTGCATCCCTACAGAAGATACATGCATATATTTAAATATTTTATATTTAGAGCAATTATACCATATAAAATACATATAAATGGTATTACAGTGCACTTTAATTACATAAAAAATCCAGAGTATAACCATAATCCATTTCTCACTCTATGCTCCTTATAGAAAATTATTTTGACATTTTTACACAACTCTACAGCTCTCCCTTTGCTCATCTCTCATATTCAGCTCAACTGCAAACACAAGTGCCTTTGTGCACCATTATCGCAGTAGGGAAATAGGCTGAATGGGCAGTTGGAGTGGATTACATTAGAGGACATCATTGAACAGATATGAAACCAACTCTGCAGGAAGCTGCATTAGGTCCATAGAGCTTCAGCTCACATTGAAAGAACTGCTTTAGAGTGAGATGAGAGCTGGGTGTGGACTAAGAATAAAGAAAAGCATTGTGGATGATTATTTTGCCTAACCAAACCATGATGAACTAATCATATATTATGTGATTTGCATATAGACTGATATTGGTTTATACCACCTTATAATAAGTGATAGTATGCTTTACAGGTGCCTGTTCAGCTTCAGTCAACAATCATATGCAAATTACATGACCATGAGGTTGTATTATTTTAAAAACTCATTAATATAGGTAAACTCATCTGTCAGTTGGATCCAATAACATTCGACAATGAGATGGAAAATAAAACATGCATTCAAAATTAACGACTGAGGTTTACTGATCAAATAAATACACATATGAATATGATATAAAGGCCACACAGAGCAAATGTGAAAAAGAAAATACATCTGTTTACTACTTCACCAGCACTTTAAAAGTAATTTGTTTATAAGGGAACAAAGTGATTTGCACAAAGCATCGTATTTTACTGTCAAATGATTATTTGACACCAAATTAGTAGAGGTTTCTACAAGTCAAGCCTTCTGAATTGCTCAAAAAAGAGGAATACCGGCGGTTTGCATTAGACTACAACATAAAATCAATATCCACAACAATCTAAGTTTTATTTCTTAATGTAATAAAGAGCTATTAGATGACTGGATGAGTAAATATAAAAGACTTACAGAAAGAAAAAGAGATGCAGCACCCTCCTGTCAGTCATATTAAATTATAAACGTTTTAGGTGGCTTTATGTAATCTTTGTGGCAGATTAATATTGCCACAGCATTATCAGGCAGACCTGACATTCCTGTATTAGATCGCATTGGTGTGCAATGCCAGTGATCAAAACGAATAGAATTTCAGATCACTGATGTGATTCCCTCAAGACTACTTCAACAAAATCGCCAACCATTTACATGCAAGCTCCACTAAACACGAAATATACGATTTCTTGATCGTTTCATCCATCATCGACATTAGCGCATCAGTTTTGAGTTCCTCCCAGTGAATGTGGCGCGTGCTGGAGGATGCTGCAGTTTTGTGATCAAACAGTGTTCACACACACATGCTGCTTGAAACGGGACTGCGGTACCTTTGGCCAGCATCGCTCGCAAAAGAACCCATCGTCCGAACCGGCACCGTCGAATTGAGCCAAATGTGCTCGAAGGATTTCCTGGCTTCGGTCTTCACGTCCGGGTCGATTTCGGACGGCGACTCGGTTCTTTTGGCACCTGCCATTCTTCAGGCTCACAAGTTACCGCCAGCAGAGATGGACGGGGGCTGTCAGCGCGGGCTCATGCTTCACTTTACCGCGCGTCGCATCCGTAAATACACCTGCTGCCGGACACGCGTACTACGCCGATGAGGGTAATCACAATCTCTCACGACTGAAGAACTGAGGCTCGTGGAGTCTTCAGTGCTCAATATGGTCTGAAGATTCTCCAGCCTACAGCCTCAACTGCGCAAGTGTATCTGAACCGAATCACATTACCACATCAAAACCAAGACATCAAGCTGACCCACACATTTTAATAATGCTGAAAAATACAGCCTTTCAATGGAGAGATGAAAGATGAAGATAATGGGCTGTATATGATATGCATTTTAAAAAACTAAAAAACAACAACAGCATCATTATCAGCACTTGGAAATATTTAATTAAAAAGTGAGGCCAGAAAGAAAGAGCTTTTTAAACAAATTCAACCAAACACATAGGCCTATATAACTATAGGCTTCGGATTAAATTAATAATGTGAGTAATATTGCCTAATGGAGTGCAGAGTTAAGTATTTTGTATTTTGTAGCTTTGTGTTTATTTAAGGCAGCTAGATGCTATTTACACTAAATGCAAATAGCTATAGATTCTATTTACACTATGTTAAAATAGCAATGTTCTGCTTTTTTTTACTACTTATTGCAAATAGTGGCAATTATCTGCTCCTCAGTATTGTAGTACATTATAAAACGGTATGCAATAATAACGTATTGAGTGTAAATTTTAATTCAAATTATTAAATGGATGCCGGCTTATTGGTACAATAAAGCCCTCCATACACCTACCCCTTACTCTGCCTAATATTTTATTTTCAATTATTTGATTGTTTCCTTCATTTTTATTGAAAATAAATGCCTTTCTGATGTGATATGGGATTTAAAAAAAAGGAAAGAGTTCTGCAAAAGGCGGATTCGAACTTGGGACGATCATGTCAAAAACACTATGGCAGGGGTGGCGAACTCCGGTCCTGGAGAGCCCCTGCAGAGTTCAGCTCCAACCCTAATTAAAACTAATATAAAAAAGTAAAGACTAAAAAGCTTTAAAATATTCCTTGTTCCTTGTACCTGCCTGTAGCTTCCTAGTAACCGTTCATACCTTGATTAGCTTGTTCAGGTGTTTGATTAGGGTCGAAGCAAAACTCTGCAGGGCTGCGGCTCTCCAGGACCGACGTTCGCCACCCCTGCACTATGGTATGAGCTTTACCATCTACTCCGGTTGGTCGATAATCGTCTTTAGTAGTGTTAATGACTAGCCCAATCACACGTTGGTGGGTGGAGTTAGTGTAAATAGCTTCTGCCAACAAGTTGGGCTATTTGCATTTAGTAAATAGACACTCAGTTTATGTAAAGTTTAGAATTTTAAATTTTATGAAGAAAATGATGATGCAACTTGCCACCAGGATGCAGTGTTTTGGATGGTTTCTAGGGCATTGCTATGCAGTTGCTAAAGTGTTCTGGCGGTTGTTAGCACCTTGCTATGTGGTTACTAAGGCATTGCTTGTTTTGTGTAATTTCTTGTCTGGTCTCCGGAGTGTTGTTGTTGAGACAGTGTTATTGTTGTTACGCAGTTGCTACAGTGTTCTGGGTGGTTGTTTTAACACATTGTGTTTGCTTGGGTGCTCTGTGTAGTTGCTGATCATCTGGGCGTTGCAATGCAGTTGCCCAGTATTCTGGGTGGTTGTTAGTGTGATGCTATCTGGTTGCTATAGTGACTGGGTGGTTGCTAGGACACTGCAAGGGTGTAAGGTCCACCAAGTGAAAATTGTAAGCAAAAGTGTCTAGAAACATAATATCACACCTCTCCTCAAGTTAAGTCAAGCCATGCTTATTTGTATATCTGTTGTGGGGTTTACTGATCACGCTGTTAAACTGATACTGTGAGACACATTTCAATTACAGTTCAACACTATATTGTCCTTTTTCGCTATGACACTCAATATGTGTACTGGCCAAAAGTAGCATTTACCCTTAAGAAACTGTTCAGGCTTAGAAACATTCAAGTACCTACTGTATAGTATACCTCCAGAGACCAAACACCTTTTATATAAATGATTACAGCACATGCGCCAGAAAGCAAACATCAACACGCCGCTGTAAGCATTAAATCTTCACGAACAGAGAGAACGGCCCACTGGCTGTAGTGGGAGTCTCGGTTCTCTCTCAGTCTCTGCACTGAGGATGTAACAGTATGTAACAGTAGATTATGAGAACAGCAGACAGGGGATTCCACCAATGAAACATCACAGTGACACCCTGTGGTCAGAGGAAGAGCCATACTCATCTTTCCCAATCCTCCCTGAGACAGTGT